AATTGTTAATATCGAAGATACTAAAAAACAAGGGAAATAAACAAAAAGCACAACAGATGCACAATTCGTGGACAATCACGAAAGCGAGAAATTTGTACAAAACAAATTATTCCTCCATTTGTTAAAAGTATGTATCTATAAATTTGAAATATTTTTTTTATCTATATAACCTGTTTCAAAAACATCGCGTGTCTTGTGTCAGAAGACTTTGTATAAAATCGTTTTGAATAAAAAAAAATTACTTAATCGTACGATATGAATAATTAAGATTTATCATTAAAATAAATTAATTTAACAAAAACAATTCGTGAACATACGTGTACTTTTTTGCTACTGTTTCACTAAATTTTTTCGTTAACGCACGCACATACACGTGTTCATGTGTTTTCACGAAGATTAAAAAGAGACGAAGGTATATGAATTTTTACCGTGCAGGATGCCTCGTGAAGTTTGCCAAGTTTCGCACGAATGAATGGCCTGTAATATGCAAATTACGTATTCTGTACAATTGTGTAATATAATAATATAGTTTCATACGAATGAGTGATTAAAAATGACGTTTAATAGAAGAGAAACGAATAAGAATTTAATCAACGTTCAGATGATAATAATTTAAACATTGATTATGGAAAACTTGTTTATCAAGACACGTCTGATGATTTTTCGACATATAGTGGCTATAAAAAATATTTGCAACGCCATTTTTATTCTTACGAATGATGTTGTATAACATTTAATCAATCATATTAAACGTTATGAAATATATCGTTGGTATTTCGTTGATGATCATTTATTATTAAATTTTTGTAAATAATTTTTTTATAGATAAAATAAACGCTACTGTTTACAAATATCCGGATATTTTTCTCGTTAATTGCTAAAACTATTTGTTGGTAAATGAATGATAAATAAAATTATTGAATCAAGAAACAATTTAAATAATGATTAAAATTACTTATTATAAATCGTATGTTATATACATCTACGTTATATATGTTATATATCATTAATAGATTCGATTTTAATTGGTAGACTTTAATAGAATCATTTTTTACTCGATAATTATACATATAGTATGTATAATTATATAGTATATGATATCAGTCATAAATTTATACTCAATGAATTAAGCAATCGGAAAGAAATACCACTTCTTACACAACTAAAGAATCCTCTTTATATTTATAACTCGATATTCGGCTATAAATCGACGCGTTAACGTTCCATACATCCTTCTGTGGATAATTTATAAAATTACAAATTGCAATCCTTCTCTGTTTATCGTATCCGATTATTTTTTTTTACGCAATAGCAATTTTCTAACAAGGAACACGTGAAATTTTTTTGTAATCGTGAGATATCTACGCACAAAGGTAAAAATAATAAATTAAATTTACTCTTATAAGTACCTCAACTGTCTCCAAAGGAACATCTGAACAGGGATGGGCAAAGCCTGTTCCTGTATGTTTCCATCGAGGGATCGACGTTTGTGCATGTTTTCGGTAGAAACGTCTAAAACCATTTCATCATTTTTTTCATAAATTTATCATTAGCAGGATGAAATCCAGTTTCGTGTAGTATCGCCGAGAAGCCACGTGCCCTCACCTGAGAATAGCAAATACTCTCCCGTTCACTTCCCAGCGACATCAGCCGTTCTTTTCGTGTTACTCTAAACGCACGTTAGGCTCACCCTGTCATCGCATATAAATCAATTAAGGGAGTGTCGTTCGCCACCCAAGTGTCTCGAATCTTTTTTTTTATTCCAGCTTTGATCGGATCGATAGAAATGGAATTCGAAAGAAGGAAATTATTTCGTTTAAATTATGATAATTGAACGAAGAAATTGAGTTAAAATTTATTCCTCAAATTTTTTGTTTTTCATTTTGTAAATTGTAAATTTTTATATATTCAAATTTTCACTCGTAATATATAAATATATATAAATATCTAATAGAATAAATAATTTTAAAGAGTGATTCGTAATGAAAAATAAAAAAAAAAATTGTTGTAATTTATTAGGAAAAAGCGTCTACTTGCCAATCATTTGACCAATGAATTATTACGCGATTAATAAATTAATAAAAAGACAATTATCATAATTATAATAGAAAATTGTTACGCAAACACCTCGGGTATAAAATAATTACTATTTCTCCGATCCAAACACATTTAAGTCATTCAATTCAATTTCGAATTCATTTATTATTCGTGCGCGGAATGGAAGACAGAATGGAAATTAAACGAACGGTGAACAGATTGAATTTGCAGATAAAAAAAAAAATATACCAGTTCCACAGTTGTTGTCAGATTCTTAGTCGGTAATGCGCGATCAAACACGTGGAAACCTTTTCACGATCGTGGTCTATTATGCGCAAAAAAGAAATTGCTTTTATCGCGCCGAATAGAGACTGATAGAACATAATAGGATAAAATCGATCACTCAACCAAACCAATGAACATTTGCAAGAAACACCAACATATAACCAAAATAAAACCAAAATAATTAATAATGAAATAAAATAAACTATCACCGTAATCAAAATCATCGAACGAATTCCAAATTCTCTCGCTTCTCTTCCTCTTCGAAAAAGAAGAAGGAAGAAAAGAAGAAAAAAATTGCAGAATAAATTTCCGTAGCCACCGTACGACTCTCCTCGATCATCCTCCGAATCCACTCTTTCTCACCCACCGTTTCGAGAGCCGCTACGTTTGCTGCTTCGTTGCTACGCACCTACGTGTATTCGAGATATAAAGAAGCAATAGCGGGGGTTGGTATAGCGAGCACACACTTTTACAAGGAGGGGGAGGATAGGGGAAGAGGAAGAAATCGCCAAGAAAGATATCGCGCACTATCGAGGATCCTCTCCACGAAGAAGGATTGGAGGGATCTGGCCGGATCTGGCACGATTGGTGTTGCGGAGATGGGGAGAGCAGCACCGTGCAACGAAAGGAAATCACGTGGCCACACGC